GGGGGCAGCTCCTGCATTGAGCGTCTGCCCCCTGGTTGTCAGTGTGCATCACAGCAACTGGTCATTCTGCTGTTTGGTCAATTTGCATATTAGCCTTTTATTATATAGGATTTCATATTTGCTATGATTTTATTTTCTCTGCTTAGGGAGAGAGGTGTGGGTCATATTTGAAATATATAATTCAACAATATCTTATTTATCCATCATAAACAGGAAATAAGATATATAGTAAATAAATTTCCCAATTAATTAAAATGTATATTTTAAACATCAAAATTTTGGTGAAACTTAGATGAACATCTACCTAAAAATATACTTTACTCAATCTTGACTGCTTAAATCAAGACAAAACAAGATTAAACCTTCTTATGATATTCAGGATCATCAATATGACCATATAATATTAGCTCTGAGGGAATACTGAATGTTAGGTGGGTAGTTGGCCTTACATTAAGTAGTCCGTAACTGCTTTGTTTTTTCCTTAGGACAGCTATCTACAGGTTTTCTTCCTCCTCCCTTGCTGTAAAACCATCACAGTTATCATTTCCCAGAACTATAAGGAGCCTGTCTTTAGCAGCAGTGCCACTTCTCATTCCTATTTTATAATCTTCTGAGAGTAAGGACATTAAATGCCCAAGGCTTTAAATAAGGGTACTACCTAAAAACGATCTGCACAGAGTTGGGTAATTCTGTTTTAGGTATTCAAGATTACAATATAAATGAACTCCAAAGAGAGTGTGATTCTTGATTGTATCTCAAGTCTTGGTTCCTTTACTATACTGGCAGTCAAGTTCTCGGGATCAGAAACTAATGCTGTTTCTCTTATCACACCATGGAAAGAGATGTGACCAAGAGCCAAGGGACTTAGTTCTAGTTCAGGTTCTTACACCAACCAGTTTTATAACCCTCAGCAAGTCTTTTAACCTTGGTAACCTGTCTTGCATAACTTACAAGGCTCCTCTAGAAAGTTTTAGATCATGATCAGAAAAACATTCTGAGAAATATAAAGCACTACAGAAGACTAAAAGATTTTTGTAGCAGTTCACTGTGTCTGTATGGCAGCGGTTCTCAACCTGTGGGTCGCGACCCCTTTGGCGGTCCAACGACCCTTTCACAGGGGTCGCCTAAGACCATCCTGCATATCAGATATTTACATTATGATTCATAACAGTAGCAAAATTACAGTTATGAAGTAGCAACAAAAATAATTTTATGGTTGGGGGTCACCACAACATGAGGAACTGTATTAAAGGGTCGTGGCATTAGGAAGGTTGAGAACCACTGCCCTAGATCAATATAGGTATCCATTCTGAAAATTCATAGCAGAAAGAACAGAGGGAAAGAGATAATTCTTAAATTGCCAATTAATTAGGACACACTTATGATCTAGGAATAACAATATATTGCTAGAGCTGGCATCTCTGACTCCTCCTTCCCTATACCCAATCAATCCCCAGGCCCTTTGTGTCTTCTCCACAATCCCTCAAATCTGCCCCTTTCTTTCCATTATCACTTCACATTCCCAATTCAGGCCTTTATTATCTCACACCTGGGCTATTGTAACATCCTCTAACTCAGTGGTTCTCAACCTCGGCTGCACATTAGAATCACCTGGGAATCTTTTTAAAATCCTGATTTCTGGGCCTCATCCTCCGGAAATTCTGTTTCTTTGTTATGGGGTGGGGCCACAACATTAGTAACAAAGAAACAGAATTTCCGGAGGATGAGGCCCAGAAATTAGGATTTTAAAAAGATTCCCAGGTGATTCTAATGTGCAGCCAAGGTTGAGAACCACTGCTCTAACTGGATCCACTCATGGCCTCTCCCTCTCTCCAATCCTTCTAGCCCACAGCTTCTAGATTGATTTTCTTAAAACACCAGTGATCATATCTGCTCAAAAACCCCTGAGGACGTTGCATTATCTTCTCTATCAAGTTCACACTCCTAAGCCCAGCAGTCCCTGTGCAGCCCTAGCTGCCTCTTCACCTTTATTGCCTATTACTCTTTCCAAATTCTTCCTCAAATGGGCCTAAGTCCTTCAGATATGCCTTGTACTTTTCTGCCTCTAAGTCTTGGTGTATATAGCCTTTCTCCACCTAGAATATTCTCTACTTTCCAGCTTCCAGCTCAACCTATAGAAAGTCAGACCATCCTTGAAGGGCTAGTTCAGTGATGGCGAACCTTTTGAGCTCGGCAAGTCAGCATTTTGAAAAACCCTAACTTAACTCTGGTGCCATGTCACATATAGAAATTTTTTGATATTTGCAATCATAGTAAAACAAAGACTTATATTTTTGCTATTTATTTTATATGTTTAAATGCCATTTAACAAAGAAAAATCAACCAAAAAAATGAGTTCGCGTGTCACCTCTGACATGCGTGTCATAGGTTCGCCATCACTGGCGCTAGTTCAAGAGCCAGATATTTTGTATACCTCCCTTTGGTTACCACAAAGGAAAAAGATGGCAGATTCTAGTTGGACACATCTGGGTTTAAACTACAGCTTCAACTGCTGAGTGTCACTGAGCATATTCCTTATTTGCTCTTTGCCTCAGTTTCTTCCATCTGTAAGATGGGGATAATAGCAATTTCCCTTGGGCATATTGTGGAGTAAATGAGTCAGTCAATCCATGTAAAGCACTTAGCATGATGTCTGGCATAGAGAAAGACGCAAGAGATTTGGAGATTGATATTACTTTTGCCATTAGTGAATTTATCTTCATCTGAATCCAGACAATACTTATCATTACAAACTGACTATTCATGTACATACAGTATCATTTCCCTCACTCTCCTTCTCTATCCTCTCCCCTCCTTTTTCTTCATCCTATCCCTGATTACATGATCCTGATAAAGTATATCTCTTATAAATATTAGTATCTATAATAGTCATTCACACCCAGTAGGTGATCAATAGATTTGTTTAATCCCTAATGAAAGAATACTGAAAAACTGACACTATTAAAATTCTGAAATTCCTATAGTAAAAACATATAATAAAATGCTTACTATAATTAATTTAAAAATATAAATTTCCAGTCTTACAAAATTAAGTTTCTCCTTTCATGACTCTCTATATTCTTTTTGCTCATTTTTAAAAAACCAACAACTCAACCTATTCATACAGCAAAAGATGCAACAGGAAATATATGCAATTCAGACAGCATCCTGAAACGCAGGCTAGAATTCAGGGACCAGGAGACGACTCAGCTGAACTGAAATGGGAAGACAATTTAAAGGGAAAGGTAATTGGCTCATCAGTCATGTTAATAATGTTGATTGTTTCACACACACACACACACACACACACACACACACACACATCAGTCCAGGATTCCTTTACACCCTGGGCCACATATAAACAACTGAAATAACCAGGCTAGTATAGCAAGTAGATATAGAAATATCAGTCATTTAGCTCAACAACTGAGCTTACCACATGACTAATTTAATTACTTATGTCAAAAGTGACTATTAACATACCTAAAGACTCTAAAATAACCAAGTTTGGCTAAGTAAGTCATATCAAGTGGCATGAATTTAATCATAGACGTAGTCTTAATGTATACTAATCATTCACCTCAAGAAAAATAGTATAACTTGATGTGCATATATTATGATAGCATAAATGTTTTCAACAATGACCAAGAAAAATTATGTCACTATAATACTGGTTTCTAGTTTATTTGCATGATTCTACTAATCTTCAGTTGCTTTTTAAACAAAATCAATCCTGGCAACCACTAGCCTCAAAGAGTTCACTAGTGGAGTGAATTAAGATGGTCTGATAGTATGTTAGTGACTTTCCAAAAACTGGCATAAATTACCACATATAAGAATAAAGTATTGTATATTCAATTTCTATCCCTATGATACTTGTCTTCAGAGGACCTTAAATTGTTGTCTACCTTTGAAGGGCAATTATTTTCAAATTACAGAACCTTTGAAAAAGCCTTAGAAGTCTCCCCATTTCAGGAATACTTTCTATCACCTCCTAGACCAGTGGTTGGCAAACCAGCTCTCGAGCCACATGCGGCATTTTGGCCCCTTGAGTGTGGCTCTTCCTAAGCCTTAGGAATACCCTAATTAAGTTAATAACAATGTACCTACCTATATAGTTTAAGTTTAAAAAATTTGGCTCTCAAAAGAAATTTCAATTGTTGTACTGTTGATATTTGGCTCTGTTGACTAATGAGTTTGCAAAAGGCCTCCAGACTTTGCTTGAATACTTTCAGCAATGGGCACTCACTATTTTGCAAGGCAGTCCACTTCATTATTACAAAATTCTTGCTTACAATCATTGGAAATGAGCCTCCCTGAACTTCTACCCAAGGATCCTAGTTCTGCTCTCTGGAATAACACTAGGTAAATTAACCTATGAAATATAATCACTTCTAGAATTAGGATATATTTGTCAATTAGATCACACAAAAATGCAAAAGAAAGCTTAAGGGGGGGGGGGGAAGAAACCACCACTGTATACAAAATTTTGCAATTCAGGAAACTATGTTAAAATTACAAGCCAGTTAACATATAAACATAACAGTAAGCCGATTTTTTTTACAGTGGAAGGTGGCACAGTGTTTATTGCCTATCTTTTTGCAACTTGAAACTACTAAATCCACCAGCACAGTTTAAAAAATTACAGTTCTGTAGGAAGTTCAAGACGGTTTTCCCAATTGCCCATAGTTTCATTTGGTCTGCTTCCCTCTAAAACATCTGGATTACTTTTCAATGAAAGATCCCATTTCGCCCGGCTGGTGCAATGTTTTATTTTGAAAAAATAAGTATTTTCAAAAATAAAGCCTGAAAGAATAGTGTGTGCAGGAGTGGGGGCGGGGTGAGGAACGAAGGCAAAGAAGGGCCCAGCAGGAAAAGGCTGGTTGCTGGGTATTTTCCTGCTGGAAGCATGCCTCACTGGCATAGGCATCTGAACTAACGAGCCATACAAACGTGAACCAAGAATAAGAACGATCGTGAGCAGTGAGTGTAAGGCATAAATGTCTGCAAGATGTAAAGGAATTGGCATCGGTCATCCTGCAGCCCCAGATGCTTTGGGGATCTCCATAGAGGAAAAGAGGAGAAGTTCAAGAAGCAGAGACCACAGCCTGCTTCTTGGGGGAGGGAAGGAGGGAAAAGACCAAGGAGTAACGACCGCTCAGCAGTCCAAGGAAGCCGAACAGCACAGAACACAGGGAAGACGCCAAGTGGCTCGGGGAAGGCAGGCAGGGAGCGAGCCTGAAGGCGGGTGCGCGGTGCTCGAATACGGGTCCACGAAATGCGTGTGGGTACGCGGCCGTGGATGGATGTAAGGGGCCACGCCGGAGTCCCACGGTCCTCTCCCTGCAGCAAAGCAACAGAGGGAAAAGGAAGGGGGAGGGTGAAGAGCCAGAATGACTCACTCCCGAAAGGAAGTGCTCAAGCCGTAAGAAAGCATGCCGCAGGGGGCTTCGGGCGAGGGCTGTTAGAGCGCGGTGCCCAGAGTGATGGGGCCCCAAACCAACGTCCCGTCGCTCCTGCAGCTCGTCTTTAAGATGGGGGGTGTGGGGGGCTCGCGGCCGCCGAGTGCCAAGGCCTGGGAAGCGGCGCGGCGCGTGCGCAGTGGCGCTCGGCGGGACCCGTTGAGGCAAAGCGGAGCCGCAGTGACAGAAGCGAGAGGAGCAGCCGCGGGGCGAGACTCACCGAGGCGCAGGGGCTGGAGGTGGTGCTGGGGGTAGGCGATCGCTGGACCGTGACCAAGGCAATCTAGGCGCTGC